TGTATCACAGGCCCATCCAAAATATTAAGGCAATTAAAATATTAACGTCTGGGTCTAAGACTGAGCTGCAGGGCCGCCCAGAGGATTCAGGGGGCCTGGGGCAAAGCGGGGGAGCTGCGGCGCTTGTACTCACCCGGCAGTGGTCCGGGTCTTTGGCGGCATTTCGGCGGCGGGGGGGCCCTTCAGTCGCTCCGCATCTTCGGCAGCACTGAAGGGCCCCCCGCTGCTGAAGACCCGGACCGTTGCCAGGCCAGGGTTCGCAGGGCCCCTGCGGGGCCCGGGGCAAATTGCCCCACTTGCCCCCCCCCCTCTGGGCGGCCCTGCTGAGCTGGCTGCTGCTCATTCAAAGACTTGGCTGCATTTCTCCATTGCTGTAAAATCTAGGGTCTGAGCTGCAGGGGCGACAAAGCATCTCCATGCCTGCAAAAAGGCCCTGTTTTCCCTTTTACATAGCTGTCTCCCCTCTTGATAGATATGCCATCCATTACCACAATAGGGTCTGAGGTAATAGCATTAGTGACTGTCCAGTAGATGTCACTGTTCAGTAACACAAGCCATAACCACATGCTCTTGAGCAAAACACAGCCTCTCTCCTGTGCTTTGATAACCTGGGGAATAAGACACTTCAGGCTATGATTCTAAAACGAGTCTCCCACTTGGGAGCCAACCTCTGATCGAAGATTCTAAATTTTGAACAAAATATGCATTCCTTCATAAGGTATGTGATGTTTCATTCATTAAACTACCATATTTTTCCAGACGGGCTCCCACAAAGCATATAAAAAAAATAATTGCAAAAACTGAACCTTGTTATATCATTCAGTGGAATTTTTTTACACTGGCATCAATGTAGTATTGATGATTTATATGTATGTTACTCTGGTGAACCTGAAACCTTGAATGAACAAACTAACTTCCCTGGGTTCGCTATAAGCAGAGAAAACAGAGAAACAGTAGAACAGCTTTTACAGAAAAAAACACTCCATTTCTAATCCAACCATTCCTGTTCTAAAAGAGAATTTTTAAATGCAGTTGTCAACAATAGAAACCTTGCTGTCATGAGATTCTGGCCACATTCAAACTAGAAAATACATCCCTTCCAGTTCCAGATCTGATCTGGCAGCAAAACTATATGGGTGTACTTGAATCTAGCAATTCAAATTTGGCTTCCCACCTTGCCCTGGCTCTGAAATTTGTAGAGGTTTGGATTCAAGGGTCTGATTTTGTCCTATTGGTATATAATTGGTTGAATATATTAACAGTAATTTATATGAGCCAACCAATATAGTTTAGGATAAACATATTTGATGAACTACTAAAATAACTATCAACATTCTTTTTTTCTTAATAACTATAATCTGATTTCTTGTATATCTATCTAATCTATGTACTTAGCTATCGTTTTACAATTAAGGTGTGGTTTTATTTGAATAATATTGTATTCTCTTTATCATGCCTTCAGTATATAACATCAAATCAATGGCTCTGTCTGCACCATTCTGTTGAACCTAGTTTTAATTCAAGTACAGGCCTGGCCTAAAGATCCAGTTCTGTGAAGTGCTGAGCATATCCTCAAGGGGCTCAGAACCACACCATATCATGCTCTAACACATGCTCAAGAGAAAACCAGATGAAGGTCTGCAAAGGAAAGACACTCCCTTATTTCCCCTCATTAGTTAAAAAGAGTGAATAGTTAGATACAGGTTTGTTGGAGACTTCATTTTGCTCTAAATTCTTGAACATATACTCACTCCCCTGTGCTACCTAATCTGATAGTGAAATGTCTTTTGTTGTATGCTTTGATTAGACAACTAATCTGTCATTGAGTCTGTGATGTTTGTCCTGGCTTGGGTTCGTTTACTATAAAGAAAGCTACAATTACATGATTTTCTCTGTTGGTCTTGCTGTGCTGATTAGCACAAAATAGGCTTTAGCATGTCTCAGCCCTGCTGTTATGTATCATGAAAATCAGATATGGTGAGAACTATTCTCATTTCCCCCTACCAATAAAGAATTGTTTCTTATAGTATACTCTTGAGTGTTTTGTCCAATCCTGCCTTTAACGACTCCAGCAATGGGGCTTTCATGTTGTGATTTGCCTATTCTTTGCCTTACTGGTGTTCTTTTACTGGCCTTCTCAGCACAGGGGATATTTTCTCAAAATTCCAAACAAGCAGAACTAATTTTAAAACCAGCTGGAGCTTCAGTGTAGACAAGGCTCTGGAGACAAGAACTGCTGTTATAACTAGTTTAGTTTAGTTAAATCTGCTTTGAGGAGGTCTCACTAAGCGAATTATAAGAATGGCACCCCCTGCTGGAGACTTCTGTACCCCGTGCTTCCAGATACTTTTGAAACTGATTTGAATATTTTGATGAATTTCCCCTGTGTAGACAAGAGTGGCAGTCGTTCCAAAAATTGTGGAAGGAGCAGCAAATGTTGCCATTACAGTAACATGTGTTGAAACATGAAAATGGAACAAAAGTTTGCATATTAACTTATCAAAAGTGATTTGTTTAAATTTAATTCAAGTCATATCAATACTCGCTCTTCTCTAACAAAAAATGGATGGTGAAATATAGCACATTTCCTGCAAGTGAAAATGCTTGGTGCATGCCTAGCTTAGGGAAATTCAGAGACAGTAGGCAAGATGAAATGCTTCAGGATGGATGCAAAATCCTGGTGATTGTGGAGTCTTCCTGAATGGAAGGTAGCATTGCAGCAGCTACCTTATGTGTACTTGGATATAAATGCACCCTTCAGATAGAACATAGAATGTACGTAGACTACATGCTGTTGAGTCACGAGTAGCATACTAAGCAAAGATTTAGGTACCTTGGCGTAAAGAAGACAATTTCAGAGAAACCACTCAATTTCTAATCCACTCCTGTTTTAAAAGAGAATTTTTAAATCCATCTAGGTACAATGGAAATCTTTCTGTTTCCACAGTGAAGGAGATAGACTACAAATACCCTGCACTAATAAATAAATGTTTGTGTACTTGTCTCCTGAAAGCTCTTTTAGCTCCAGCAGTTTTAACTAAAACTCGCCTTATATATGTGAGTTTAAAAGTTTTCTATTGACATTCGAACGATTTGTATGCATGTCTAATTCCATCATAGACATAATTTAGAAACATTTATCACTGCATTAGTCTTATTACCCAATCCTTGAAGTCAATGGGAGTTTTGCCTGAGCAAGGAGTGCAGGATCAGGCCTTAAACAATGGGAATTTAACAATAATGCCCTATAATAATAATTTGCATTTACAGAAGCTTTCAAACAATAATCTCAAAGCACTTTGCAAATGTTAAACCTCACATCTCCCCTATGGGAGTTGATCATCATCATCATTTCCTGGATAGGAAAAGCGAAGAACAGATAGATCAAACACCTACATGTGCAAAGTGCTGACTGGACAGATGTCAGTTGTAGCGAAGATTCTCAGTGCTTGTCAGGAAGTGCTCTACGCCTTGAAGGAATGCATTCGAACTGACTTGGTGCAGTGTCACAAAGAAAGCAAGTGGCAGAGCCAGGGCTAGAACCAAAAGGCAGGATAGTCTTGCCCATAAGACATTGGACTGGGATTATGCATTTCCAGATTCAACTCTTGGCTCTGCCACAGACGTCCTGGAAAAGTCATCTGATCTCTTTGTGCATCAGTTCACTCTCTGTAAAATGAGAGTAACAACATTTCCTTTGCCTGTCTTGTCTAGTTAGCAAAGCACTTCAGCAGATGCTTAAACTTAAGCATGTGTCTGTGTTCTTCTGAAAACAAGGCCCACAGTTTAAGGCCAGAAGGGGTCTGTACATCATCTAGTCTGACCTCCTGTATATCAGACTGAAAACTCTTTGGGTCAGAAACAGTCTCTGTGTATGTGCAGTGCCTAGGACAACAGAATCCTGCTCTTGGTCAAGGCCTCTTGGTACTACTATAATACAAATAACACATTAAAAAAGTAATAGCCCTGATTTCCAGTATCTTGTTCTACCCACTAAACCAGACTTCCTCTATTTCTCCTTGAAACAAAGTCCCTTAAGGAATGCACTTTTGAATTGTATGATGAAAGGCTATTATTTCTATACACATTAAAGCTTGCTTTTATCTCTCTTGAGAAATAAACAGGCTTGATACTACTCTGATTTTAAAACTTTGCTGTTTGTAAAAAGAGTCATACTTTAAAAAAAAAAATGCCAGCAAAGCAGGTCTGTGATCTAATTCTGAACATGGCATTTCTTTCATTTAAAACCAATAATATTCATGACTAGTACTTAGATCCCAAGCCGTGTTCCAGGATTGAAAAAGAAACGCTAGGAGGGAAATTTTGCATTTCTGCTGCAGATGTGATTTAATCCTGGCATCTCAGTTTCTTGTCTGAAAAAAACTTACTCAAGCTAGGAAAAAACAAATAAAGCAGGAAATGTTTCATTCCCAGTGAATTTTTTTGTTTAAAAAAAAAGTTTGCAAAAAAACCTTTCCCACTAGAGACACTGGGGAAATGTTGCTGCCCACAGCCCTTGGCATGACCTATCCCAGCCCTGTGGGGCTGCTGCAGCAACATTAGCTAAACTCCCACCCTGCCTCCTTTGGTGGCTCCTCACGCCCTGACCACATTTCTCCTCTGTGCAAAGCAGCTCCCAAACTGTCCTGATCAAAATGCTGGAGCATCAGCAGCAACCCCCCCCCCCTCCATACAGCTGTCCTCAGGGGATTAGCCCATCTTCTTCCATTTAAGGATTGCAGCCTTCACCCCTCTCCGATCCTATCCTCCTCTCTGCGGCTGGCTTGTGCTCCTCCAGCTCTCCCTATCTGCCTCACTGGTGGGAACAAGCCTCCCCCCGGAAGAGACACAACCCAAGGCCCCACTGCAATGTAACTTTCTCCACTATTCCTCAGCCCACGTATCCATCCCCTTCTCCCCCCACATCGCTCCACCCCCCGCCCGCAGGGTCTTTGGGGGGGGCGGGGCTCCCTTGACTGATGCTTCTCCGGGGAGTTTGACACCCACTCGGCTGTGCCGCCCCCGTCTCTCCGCTTCTCAGTCTCCAAGAATGTCCCGGCTAGCCCCGCAATTGCCGTGCCTGCAGCGGGGTCCCGCCCGGTGAGCAGGAGGCGGTGGGAGGGGAAAGCAGCCGCGCGCCCTGCCTGCCTTGAAGCCCATTGCGTGGCAGCGCCAGCCGGCCGCCTCCCTGCGTCCACACAGCCCTCTGCCGGGAGTGCCCGGGCGCGGGGGGCAGGAGCAGGGGCCACGCGAGCCTCCCGGCCCCGCTCCACCCCCGCCTGTGTCCTCCAGCCCCGTCCGCCCTGCGCCGCTGCCGGGCTGCTGGGAGGGTTCCCCGCGCATCTGGGAGCGGGAGGATCCGAGCGAGCCCTTGGCACAGCGGGTCAGTATCCGCCTCTCCCGGCCCGTGGGCTGCTCCCCGCCCCGCTGTTGGCTGGCTGGTGCCTTTCCAGCCCCGCGGAGCATTGCCGCGGCTGCCTGCCCCGCTGCAGCTGGGAGCAGCGCGCCTGGCTGAGCTCCTCCGCCGGGCTGGAAGTTGGCCGCCTGGCAGTCGGGCGGCTGCCTTGTGCCCGGCACCTTCTCACCTGACAGGGGCAACTTCGCCCGGCAGACAGACAGGACCTGGCTCATCCCTGCCTCCAGATCGCCCGGGCTGCGCTGCGCTGCACAGTCACTCACAGCTGCCACGTGAACCAGGTAACGGGGGTTTTCTCAGTGTGGGGGCTCTGCTACAGTAACTCCTCCCGGAAAGTTTCGGGGGGCAGCGTGAGGGGGAATGGGAGAGCGGTTCTACCCCCGGACCAGAAAGGGCTCCGGAGACTTTGTATCTTCATGCAGGCTGGACGGGTTCAGATTTCAAGTTGACACTGACATATTGGGTACATTGTTCCGCACACAAAAAGTACAGTGCAACATAGGTTTTTTTTTTTTAAACTAGCACTTCGGGCTATGAATGAAAGCAGACCTTCCTAGGGCGAGATCCTGCTCCCGTTGAAGTCAATGGGAGCTTTGCTGTTCATTTCACAGGGAGTAGCATCTGGCACCTTACCACCAAATTCTCCATATTGTCCTTTATTTTAAAGCACGTGATCTTTCCTAATAATCTGGGGAGGGGGGGAATTCAAGCACCGTGATCTATTTGTATATTGTTAATTATCATCATCGAGCTAGTGTGATGTGGACTGCATGAGCCACAAAGATAAGGACAACCTTTGGTCCGAAGAGCCTACCACCTAAAGAGACACAGAGGAGACAGGATACATTATATACCACTTTTTAGGTTTTCCTCCCATGTTTTTGATCTTTTGTAGGTCAGAGGTGATGTGAATACATACAGATGATTGGTACAAATACATACAGACTCTTCTGCCAGAAAATAAGCTTCATAGTAGAGGATTATTTTTCTTAAATAAATTAAAAAAGTAAACAAACTTTAATGTGGTGTGCATGGTTAATTTCATTTTAAGACTCTTTCCTACATTCCCTGCTGGTAAAAATGGAGTATTAATTTTATTGCGTGTACATGAAGTGAATTCACTGACTTGGCATGTAGCCATGCTTAAAAAAAAAAGTAAATAGCTGTCGGAATTCATTTGGCAGCAACTGTGAGAAATGATCATAACCATACAAATGCTATTGGATTCAGACGTAATGATCCATTGTGGATTTAAAAATAATATTCCTCCAACTTTTGGAGAGTAGTGATTAGTTCGGTACTGTAATCGGAAGTGGGAGGATGCTACAGTGCTACATTACAGATATGTAATTGTCAGAGAAGTAGGCTGGGAGCCAGGCTGTGTTCCTCAGGTCTTTAGCAAACCACTTGCAGGCAAAATTTTAAATGTGGCTGCTTCTTTTAAGCAGCACAGATTTCTGGTACTCAACTTTGGATAGTTTGGTACTAATATGCCTGCAGCTGCCATTGACTTTAGTTGGAATTATGGATGCTTAGCATCTCTGTAAATCAGGCACAAGGTGTCTCCTTTTGGGCACCTGACCACTGATGCACCAAAAATCCCTGGCCATTTTGGACAAAATTTTACCCTATGGAAGTCTCATTTTACTCATCTGTGAATTAGGTGCTTTAATACTACTTATGTAACTTCCCAAGGGCCTCAATCCTGCAAAGACTTATTCAGATACTTAACTTTACTATGAGTCGTCCCATTGAATGCATAAAGTTAAGCATGTGTGTAAGTCTTTGCAGGATCAGGGCCTCAAATGTTAAGGATTAAATAGATGTTTTCCTTTCCCCTGTGTGAAAGACCAACACAAACAACAGAGGAAAATGACTGACTAACTTACTACGTGGAGGCGGGGGGGACATTGAAACTGGCTCTACAGTACTGGCAAATGAACATAGTAAAGAAAATGTAATATTTATTCTCTAATCTCTGTCAGTTGTGGCAATTCTAGGTGCTATTTGTAATAATAGTAGGGAAGCCATTTTGAGGTAGAAGTGTGATTTATGTGAACAGTGTCTCATTGCTTTGAGATTCTTGGGAGGAACGCACCACAGAGAGTGGAACTGATTATTATTTATTTTATTACTTTAATATTATTGAATTTTTATTTTCCTCCTTGTTATTATTTAACCAGGGACCTTCATCTTCATGACGGAAGACAGCGTCATGGCCTTTAGGATTCAAGATTTTACTAGGCTGAGGATTGACCGGGACTGAAAGATTCTGGGTTACTCATAAATCTCCCCAAACTAACACACACACACAGTCCCTCTCTCCTCATTGCTACCATTATCGGTTGTGAGTAGAAAGATGGCATCCAGCCTTACTTGCACTGGGATGATCTGGGCACTTCTCTCCTTCCTCTGTGCTGCTGCTTCCTGCATAGGATTCTTTATGCCATACTGGCTGTTGGGGTCTCAGCTGGAGAAGTCAGTGTCCTTTGGCACTTTCCGGAGGTGTTCCTATCCAGTGCGGGATGAGAGCCGCCAGACTACAGTGATGGTAGAGCAGTGTGGCCGCTACGCATCCTTCCAGGCCATCCCAAGTGCTGAGTGGAGGATCTGCACCGTGGTGACGGGGCTGGGCTGTGGCCTCCTCCTTTTGGTGGCACTGACTGCACTCATGGGCTGCTGTGTGTCCGAGCTCATCTCCAGAACTGTGGGCAGGGTAGCAGGAGGCATCCAGTTTCTGGGAGGTAAGTCACAAGCTTTTGGTTCCTGTACTGTGACTGCATTATTTTCTCTATTCTTACGATAGCACCTCTGCAGGTTTCAGTTAACCTTGTTCATTCTCGTATACTGAAGTTCCTGCCAGGCTGGCATTTAACCTTTCAGAATAGTATGCTGTATTAAATCACTTAAAACTATTATTAGGTTGTAAAAGTACAATTAAATTGTAAGCGCGTTGGGGAAGGGATTGTCTTTTGCCTTGGGTTTGCCTTGACTTCAGTAGGGCACTGCAAGGGGGTATGGGTTTACCCACTTGGATCCAACTGCAGGGTCAAACCCGAGATTCCAACTGGAGAATCTTTATTATAGAATAGAGAATCCAAAGCCAGAAAGAATACGGCTTGACTCTCAGGTCCTAGGTGGAGTTTGCAGTGCTGACAGTTAAGGAGAAATTTTTTTTCTTATAGATTGAGATCAAATTTGACCTCAAAGTTCCTGAGATATTAAACTTGGAACCCCACAATGCTATGCTCGTAGAGTCATTTTTCAGAGTAAAGCATCACGGTATTGTTGTAAGCGGTGCTGGAACATTGCATATGTTCCAGCAACACTTTCCTCTTGAATAACCATTCAAATGAATGAGATTTTAGGCTGTACTATTTACAGTGAGGTTATGTATTTCAATGGCATTCAGCGCAGAAACCATCAAAGCTGCTATGTTTCACCTGTCCTGTGATAGCCATTTCTAGGAGTGCAAATTCAGAAAGTATAGTTGTGTGCTTCATTGGGACTTGTAATTCCTTCCCCTCCAAACAGGGCTCACACAGTAATGAAATGGAAATAAATTGTTAAGTATATCACTGCAAACAAGACTGCACTACACAGTTTAAAGTTGAAAATCAGGGGAAAGGAAAGGAAGACTCTCTGGGCCAGATCCTCAGCTAGTGTAAGTTGTAGGTCCATTAAGGAGCTCATTTACATCAGCTGAGAATCTGACCCAAAGCTTTGAAGTAATTGCTACGCTTAGAAATAAACTGACACTGTTACTTCAGCCTTCTGTCTGCTGTGTGACCTATAGACATTTCTGTATTTAATATGGCTCACAATCTGGAAGAAAATAGCAACGCCTTGAGAGAGAATTGTGACAGTAACTTACAGTTCCAAAAGCCCACTTTGTCATGAAATTCCACCCTCTCCCCTGCCCGCAGGCAGAGGGATGGAGAGATATTTGATTAAATAATATGTGTGATCCCACTCAGACTGGTTATTTTCACTTCCACCCACCCAAAGGCTTCACTCCTGCTTGCTTTTTAGCCACTGTTTTCTGTTTTCAATTTGTCTCTAATCAGATGATTTTAATTTTAGTTGATCCAGTTTTTGTGGCAGCACTCCCCCTTTCTGCAGGCTTGCTGGCCAGGCTGCCCCTGTGTCTGATTACAATCCATGCTAGTGAAATATGACAACCTCCACAGTCAATATTGAGGGAAGGGGAACAGGAAGAGTGGAAAACTCACAAATCTTTGTGGCTTTGTCTTGTGCTGTAACTAGTATGCCACCCCTTTCTGACTGCTGATGGAGACTTGGAATCAAATGTGATGAGGGAAGAGGCATCCTTAAGGTTACAGTGCAAGCCAACAGAGTTTTCCAGCATAGACTGCAAAACAATTTTCCAAGGAGGGGTGGACATAAGTGTTCAGAGTTTATTTTCAGTAGGTGCAATCCAAAAGATCAGTGAACTTGTGAAAATCACAGACAACTTTACTTACAGTTCAGAAATTATTTACACAGCATGTGTAATTTCCCCCTCTACTGGGTTTTAGGGTTATCTCTGATTTCGTACAGCAATGCTGTAAAATGCCCAAGAAATGAACTTAATTAAAAACCATCACTTCTGAAGGTACATAAAAAGCAACTTAAGGCCTTAGGGATGGGGGATGGTGTGGTGGGTCAGTAACTTGGACAAGTTAAAGGGACACTGTCAAAGTAAAGAACAGGGGTCAGATCTTTAGCTGGTGTAAATCTGCATAGCTCCATGGTCTTAAGGAGCTATGCACCAGCTGAAGATTTATCTCAATTTTCTCCCCAAAAACCTTACTATTACTCTATGTATATTACTAATCAAAACATAGATTATTGAAAGGAAAAGTATGTTAACTATCCAATGTATTTTTATGCTGTTTGTTTATCTTTTTGCCTTTCACTCAGTTTGGCAGTGATTCTAGGTCAGTCAGTTTCACCTTCTGTTTATAGATGCTTTCACCTTCTGATTCTTCTGCATCAGCACACTTGTTGTGCCTGCTGTCAACAACTTAGGGGGAATGTTTGAATGTAAAAGACTATTAACTGACGTTAAACACAAACATAAAAACATGATAGATTTTCTAGCTCATGGGTTTTGATAGGTACTACAGTTACGGGCACTAAGTGTTTTAAAAGGCACTAACTTGGGTGAATAAACTAACTGGCCAAATGCCTTGTAGTGGGAGACATAAGGGCAGGTGAGAACATGATACAGTTCGGATACAGTGATTGGGGGCGGGCCAATACTGACAAATTGATCTGATTGTCCTGCTCTGGTATCAGAGGCTTTTTACTCTGCTATTGAGATGATGTGGGTGGGCACTAGTAGACACAGGGCCTGATTCTCCTCTTACCTGAGTGCAAATCAGGAGTAACTCTAGGGAGGTCATGGAGTAACCCCCGTGTAAAACCAGCTAAGCCTGCCCTAGTGAAATGGTGCTAAGGCTTTACAGCTGGGGTTTCACAGAGTTGTTGCTGTATGTGGCAACCAAGAGTTAGTTACTCATGGCTGCTTACCATAAACAAACTTCTCTCCTGAAAAATGAATGATAGAACCTTCATGAAACTGCAAATCCCCACAGACTAGGAGCAGCAGTTTCAAAATTGGTTTGTCTGGCATTTAAGAGGCTCATTTACTGTTTGAGAGGATCCTGAGAGTGGGGTCTGTATATATTTTAAAACAATACTAGGATACTGTGCTCTGGGGTTCTTAAACTTTTTCAGTCTTAACACAGAGATTGCCTTGTGGACTCTTCCCTCCCATTCTCAATCACACAAACCACTTCCCATCCTAATTATGATCCCAATATCACTGCAGTGATTACAACAATTGCTTACATGGAAAAGTAACATTAGGAAAGTGTTTAATGTATATTTAGTTTCTTCTGATGCAATTAGCAGCCAGAAACAAGGAAAAGGAGCCAGCACCATTTGGCTAGCCAGCTCTCTGTTGACCATCAGTGGCCCACAGATCATAGTTTGAGAACTGCTACTGCTGTAGCTGATACTTTACAAGCACTTTTGCTGTATTGTTTCTGAGTACTGATAACCAATGCAAAAGTTATACTGTCTATAACCTCATGAGGGCACAGTTATGTAGATGCATACAGTCTTCATTGAGAATAGTAAGTGCAATGTATCGAGCTGGTTTACTCTGAATGTTTGGAAGATTGAGATATATATCATGTACCTATAATAGACTGTACTGAAAGGTATGTCTTTAAAAATAACTGTAAAGTTTAACAAAAACTAAAGTTTAACAAATCTACAGCAAACTGTACTCTAATTATCGATCCTCTTTTCATTGCAATTTGGTTAGATATGACATACTAATGTGATGAATAATTTCACTCTCTGAATGAAGAGCAATCAAATTAAAAGCACAATGAACTAAAAGGTTACCCAGTTTTATTACACACAGTGTATCAAAAGATACAGTATTTCACATACAGTACATTTAAAGAGCATGATGCTAGCAAGGTGACTCTTCATAAAAAGGGTCGGCACATGAAAGAAAAGAACTGAAATCTGCACTTACTTAGGCAAAACTCCCTTTGACTCTATGTTGAGCCATATTCAGGAGTGAAATGATGACTCACCATCTTTGACACATCTCTGAATTAGACCCATTGGTCTTAACTCTGTGATGCGTGTTGTCACAGATCCTAGCGAGCGCCCCTTTTTGGCCGTCCACTAGGAATGCCAAAGGGACTCCAAGCCTTTGAACTCTGAATTGTCAAAGGTGTTTCAAGCTCCATGAACCTGAATGGAGTGCAGCCATTGCACCAACCTTAGGCACACTCACAGGGCCCAGACCTTCTATCTGGAACTCCCCCTCTGCGTGTTGGAACCTGCTGTCCAACCACTTACCCCTCCTGGCTGACCCTTCAGACTCCCAGTACTTAAACACACCCTCCCCCAGAACTCCACCGCCAAGGTCTGATGCTTTTCGTTTACAAATTTGACTCCCTCAGAGGCACACAGTATTTGTGAAGGTCTCTCTCTCTCAGTCACTCACTCTTACTTTGTTTAATGTATCAAACTTTATGCTCTTTATATTTCATCATGTAAAGCACAGGAGAATACAGATCATACCAAACAATAAAACCTCTGCACACAATGTCCCTCATTAGCTCATCCTTCCCTTGAGAAATCATCTGTATTCTCACAGGCAGGCAGAGTCCTCCACCCCATTGCCTACCTTGCCCCTGCAGCAGCTTCCTGCATTTTAATGTTTGTAGTGCAAGATGGCTGTGTCTCCTCTCATTCCCTCTTGTCAGTCCTTTTATAGACTCCTGGTGGGGTCACCTACTTCTTTTGTTCTGCCTTTTGGTAATTTTCCATTACCCTCAACCCATCCATCCCTTCAGACAAGAGGAGAAAGAGTCTTCTCCCAGGCAGAGCAAACCTATTGTCCCAAGGTGTTTTACTTTGATCAGCTGATCACTGAATAGTGATCATTCACCATTGTCTCTGGCCTGGAAGAGACATGACACAAGTCTGCTAACTCATGGGGGGGGGTCCACAGATATATAGTAATTTCATAAAATCAAAATTCAGAAGTGGTCAGGCTGAACCCCCAGTTTGTTATGCATCTGAAAAGTGAGTTGCTTTTCTGTAGGTAAATCTGGTGTAACTGACTAGGTTGCACTGTCTTGATTCTCCAGTAGTTTTTACACCAGAATTCCACAAGTTCCGACAGGAGTTCCTTTTGGAAATGGGAGGA